CTTGCAAAAAGAGCAGTTGGTACAATGATCATCTCCATTTACAGATGGAGACACAAGCTCAGGAGGGGCCGGAGTTGGTCGAGGCTGGAGATCCAGGAGACCTGAGGCTGGAGGCCGGGCTCCTCCCGGGGGCTCTGGGCTCCCCTCTGCCCCGGGCCCCACCCCACACCCAGCAAGGCGCTGGCCAGGGACCCCGGAGAGGCAGCCACAGGCAAGGAGTGATCAGGAGAGACGAGACGGAGAGGGAGAGAGGAGACAGGGCCCAGCGCAGGGAGGCCGTCTGTGGGGGCAGCTTCGGGGTGCGCTCGGAGTCTAGGTTCTCAGACACACATCATCCTGAGAGGAGGGCAGACAGATCAACACCCGCTGTGCCAGGCTGCGCGGGTCCGCGGAACGGCGCGGTGTTGCCATGGAAACCAGCCCTGTTCTAGCAACTGCTCAGGAGACTGTTTTTCCTTTTCCCTTTGAGATGGTGTCGTGTGCATCTTGGAAAAATGATCGGGTATTTCTTTCTTCTCCTTTCCCCACATGACTCCCCAATTAGATGAGACCCATCACAGGCGGGGAGGGGGCGAACTCATCGACAGCAGCTCCCACAGGTGGTCTTTCCATTTTCCAGGAGAACGTCTGTCTCCTGACCTGGTCCCTGGCGGGCTCACCGGGCGCCATCCGGCCTCTCCAGCCCCGACTGTGAGCCCGCGGTGTCCGCAGCCCCTGCACCTGCCGGACCTCGGTGCCCAGCCCGGCGCAGGGACACCCAGGAGCAGCCCCTCCCACCCCACGGCTGTCCCAGGGCGGGCAGGAGGCTCTGCGGTCTCCTCTCCGCCCCCCGAACTCCTCCCCCAGCCCCGAGGCCTGCTCCCCACGGCCCCTGCTGACGCCAGTGATGCCCACAGAGACACCGCCCCGAGATCGGCCGCCCAGGTCCCCCGCACGGGCGAGCTTCCCGGGGCGAACGTCCGAGTGTTGGCGAGAAGACGTGGAACGCGTGCACAAGCACACACAGTGCCCTGTGAACCACGTGCTGTTTGTAAGCATTTCCTGGCTCCCGCCCCCTCTCTGCTGGGCAGCTGTGCCCGCGGAACCCCATCCCCCAAAACCAGAAACCACCCCTCCAGAACCCCCAGCGGCTTCTCCCTGAGCAGCCCCTTTGTTACCCTCTCTGACCCCCCGACCTCGGGGCTCCTGGGGGCAGACAGGGCCTCCTTCCTTCCGAGGGAACCCCTGACTCAGCAGGAGCAGCGTGGCCCGGTCCCTCCTCGGGCCCCTCCGGCCCTCACTCTCTCTCCCGGTCCCTCCTTGGGCCCTCCGGCCCTCACTCTCGCTCCCGGTCC